ATGTAACCTGGTTGTTAGTTGTGTTTGTGGTTCCATACCGCCTCGTCGTAGCCCATACTCATGAACTGCTGGATCCACTGCTGAACATCTGGCCTGCTGCGGTCCCAGATGTTCCTCCTGGGCCTCCGTAGTCTCCTCAGGAACTCGTTGGCCCGATCGGGTTCCACCGCCGGCGCCAGAGGCCCCATCGGTCCGCCATCTGACGGCACAGGAAGTGTTAGTGGCTTCACAGTAAGAGCATGAAGGTCAGCGCACTGAGCCGCCGGCTTCATCATCGTCACCTTCATCATGATATAACTACAGACAGCTGAGGCGGCGCGACGCTGCCAGTGTGAACGTTCCTGCAGGACTTTCACTGAGCAGTTTGTGAAGAGAAGAAATAACTCAAAGAGAAACAGGTTTCCTCCAGCCGGCTGAACGTCCTGCTTCATCCAATAATTCATCATCATCATCATCATCAGAATTACTGTTGTCTTGGACAATCGGAGCCATTTTGGATGAATCCAGACATCGTTAGACTTCCTGTTGACTGACGTCTGAGCTGCTGCTGCAGACGGCAGCGTCTCAGCGTGTTGGATCGAACAGGGTCAGGGTTCTGCTTCACCAGTCACACCAGCAGTTTGGTGTGGAACTGGTTTGTTGGAGGTCAATGAAGGAACTCTCATGTTAGAACCTGCAGCTGCAGCAACTCTGAGTTCAGGGTTTGATTGATTATTGATCGGCTGTCGCCTGCAGCTCGTCTGAAAGTTTCCTGCAGCTGCTTCAGGATTAACGTCAGACTGTCGGCGCAGGAGTTTTATTTTGAAAAACGCTGCAGGTTCAGAATCTTCTGCCGTTTCTCAAACTGACCTCCAGCTCAGAGTAAAAACTGTTGTAACTGGTAAACCCACAGAGCAGCAACAACGCGCCTGATTGGCTCATTTCATTCAGTCTGAGAAGCAGGAGCAAGAAAACAGATTTAAAAGCAATAACGTGTTGGTTTGAAACGGAGTAAAAATAATTCAGCTGAAAAGTTAAAACAGGTTAAATCAAAAAGTTAAATAATGAAAAATACATTCTGACACCAACGAGACGAACACGGACAAAAACAAAGTAAGAAAATCTAATCAAATGAATCCAAAGTCTGAACTGGTCTTTATAGAGATGACACACACCTGGTGAGGACTAAAGGAACGAAGGAGAAGCTTTCGTATAAAAGTCAGCGTTGAAAGATTTAAACAGGAATGAGGTGGTTCTGTCTGAAAACAAAACCAGCAGCAGGCCAGATGTTCAACCTCTGGATGCTCCTGGCTTTAAGTTGGATTTCAGTTTTTGTCCTTTCAGAAAATCAAGAGTTTGCATTTTGAAATGTTCCTTAGAGTTTAGAGTGAACCAGAGCGACGTGAAGCAGAACCCTGGACCAGCAGGCGGTCCAGATGTTGTGTGTTTTACCTGCAGCGTCGCAGCACAGCAGCAGCAGCAGCAGAGCAGCGGCTGCTTCCAGCTTCATGGCTTCTTCTCTCTGACTGTGTGTCCAACATTCCTGCTGCTGAACCTGCTGCTGCTGGTCCAGGAATGTCCTCACCTGAGGGGAGGCTCGCAGGTGAGCAGCAGGAGGGAGGAGCCGGGATCTACCGAGAACCAGCAGAGACACAGAACCAGCAGCTCCCAGGTGATAGGAGCAACGATCAGCTCATCCATAGTCAATAACAGCAGCTCCAACAATGTTATATTATATTATATTTATTATATTATATTTATTATATTTATTATATTATATTTATTATATTATATTTATTTATTATATTTATTATATTATATTTATTATATTATATTTATTATATTATGGATTTACTTAGTGTGATCGTGAGCTGCAGTACCTGCTGCTTCCACCAGAGGGAGACTCTGACAGTTTCATACAGTTCAGACCAGAGGAGACATCACTTCCTGGTTGGCAGCCAGAGAGCATTGTGGGAGTTTTCCCACATCTGAGACCAGCTGTAGAACCTGCTGCTGCACCTCAGGAGGTTCTGGTGTTCCTCTGAAGGTGAATCATCAACATCTGATTCCAGCTGAA